TTCTTTTTAAAAGTAAACTCAAAACTTTAAGGGTTCAAATAACTTTTCATAAAGTAAAATACAGTATTTTTTAAGTTGCCATATTTCCACACTACTTTGTCTCGTAGGCTACTTTAACAAGACATTAAGCAAAACATTTGAAAGACAGGCAAATGTTGCTAATACAGTATGAACTTACCTCTGTGCCTCTACAGAAAGACACAACTTACAAACGGTCCTCTCAAAAACATTCCTATCCCATTCAAGGTGAAATGAAACAGTCCCTGTTTCTTCTAAAATTCACCAATTAATACAATGTCATTCTCTAAATAATTTCAATTTTGTACCAAGGAAAATGTGCTTATAAGTGAGAACTGTGCCAGCTTAATTATTGTATTATGACTTATGGAAAATGGTAAGTTCTGTAAAATTGATGTTGGAAAGTAGATTTTGGTTCTTTATGGAATTCTATACTATTTGATAATACTATTAATGTATAATAATCTATAATAGTATCCTGTTTTGTAAATAGAAGCTTGCTCTCCTTTAAAACTTAATAGTGAAGTGGTTCCTGCAGACTTTTACCACAGCATATGTTTACTACATCATACAGTAAGGTATCTCACAGAATCAACATAATCACAGAATCAGCTAGGTTGGAGAAGACCTTGCAGGTGGTGCATCAAGTCTCATATGCATGAGGTCTTTCATAGATACTGTGTATTTTATTAAAAAAGAACATTTGCAAGATCAACTATTTTCCTCTGAAACAAAGCAGATGCCTTTAATTATTTCTGAGAATTAATTGTAATTAGCACCTGGATGCATCACTGACTTACAGTTTGACTTTGCTGCTTCTGTCAGTTGCGTCATCAGTAAACAGCATTTTCATCTATAGAAAAGGGAGGGTTTGACACTGACAAGATTAAAAAAAATGTAACAGGCAGAGCTCTCCGTATATCTGCTACATGTTCTCACATTCAACAGAAGTGACAAGAAAAATTCAGAGACAACTCACATAGTCAAATTTTATGTGGAACAAACAATTCTCAGAGAGACTGATACTTATAAAATGCTGAACTCTTTCTACACGTTAATCTATCAGTGTGAGAGAGATTTATCAAAATGTATATTCTGTAACACATAACAGAGCAAAAATATCTTCGGTCATATGAAGACAAAAAAAATTGCTAGTATCTGCATGACCAAAAGATACCAAGTCTTATAGACACTAACACCTGAACTTTGACATGAACAATAGCAGTCAGTCACAGTGTGTGGCAGATCATGAAACTCTGGACAAGGCCAGTGAATCAAAGTAGTGCTAAATTAAAAATACTAATTCAATGGTTAATGATTTAAAGATACTAGATTCAGCTGTATTAATGTAATAAAATTCTACCAACATCATAGTCCCAAGGAAAAGAGATGTTTTGGTAACCTAAAAATTGAATTTGCACTCTCTTCTCTGACATGAATCATAAATAAAAGTCCTGTCATGGTTAATTCAGTCTTTCAGGTTTTCTGAGGAGACATTGTTCTTCATGGACAGTAAAGAGTCCTCTACAATTTTTATAAACACATTTTCTGATACCCGTTACTAGTCAATTTTTTTTCACATTGGTGTGCTGTGTTACAAAATTGCCATTTCCTCCTGAGAGGTAACTGGGCACATACATACCTTCTAAAGCAATTAGCTAGGTAATAACATAAATAAAATTCCTTTTGGACTTAATACTTGCCTAAAAATATTGAAAGCACTTTGAATGCATGTGAAAACACATAAGTAAATAAATGTTTTGTACTATTTGTGCTTTAAATACCTACTAATTTAAGAGATGAATCCCCTATTTTTGGTAATCACTTCCGAGACCTTTTTTTCCTCCAAACACTTGCCAGGATAGGGATTTTCTGACTAAAATGACACAAAGGGTTTGTCGTGCTAATACTCAATCTGTCAGCATCCATTTATGGATTGAATTTTTCTTGAGAAAAATATAGCACAATATGGACTCAGCAGTTCATTCTCTCCAGTGCATCAAGAGAGACTTGTAACTTACACAGTGGCTATTTCTCTAAGTACATTTCTTTTATTTGAAGATAAAAAATACACTAAAATACTTCAGCCATAGCAATGCCTACCTTTGTAACTTAAGACGCACTGCAAAAATCAGACAGTCCTGTAAAAATGCAGCAGCATGCTTAAATGTTACCTCAGAAAGGAAAAAGCAAGGAGATATGCATGGCTTTTTCTGTATAACCTGCCTTCCATTGTGGTCTTGCACTGGCATTCCACTTCTTCAACTGGAATTTGAAGCCTGTCTCCTGCTAACTATTACATTATCAATATTCTTCACAGATCACAGCCTAGAAACCCAAACTTTTTTCTGGTTTGGGGTTTTTTTGTTTGTTTTGCTGGGTTTTCTTCCCTGCAGGTATAAATCAGTGCAAGTGCTGGAGTGACACGGTGTAAGTTGGAGAGTGCTATCAAGTAGACAGTGGCAGCCTTACTTAAAATTTGCTTTTCAGATTTTCTTATTCTTGTAATGTCATTGTCCAGTTCCCTGGGTCTACAGGAAATTTAAAGCAGCCACCCTAACTTCTGAATCTTTAGTCTTTAGTGAAGTCCGAATAATGGCACTTTAAAGATATGGTCAAACATGTATTTTTATATACATCCTTTGGAAAAGTCTTAGGATTTATGAAATATTGCTGAACACTCGTTTTTCTCCATAGGCTAATCTGCCCAAAGTCTGAGCAGGTTATTCAAAATTTCAGTCACTTCTAACAGAATGGTAGCTCCTGCACCACTGATAGAAACATCTGGATTTTATTCCAGAAGCATTCTACAATTCCAGCTGCTAAAACACTTTTTCTCGGCGGAAACTAGTCTATGAGGATTTAATTTTGTTCACCTGCAAAATTCCATTGGTATGACCTTTTCATTGAAATGCACATACAGCAGCCCTCAAACTGAGAGGAACTGACATTAAAATAAATCACAGAAAGAAGTGAGTACATCACTGCCACATTGGCAGACACTTTGAGACCTGTTGAGAACTATTCTCTTTCAAAGCAAAAAATACTAAATGCAGACAAAATCAAAGCCAAATGGGAAGAGTTATACCCTCAGAATAAATCAAGAGCATATAAATACATGTTCTGAAGTAGTCTCCTACTCTTTTCCAGAAGAAACTCACACAGTAACCATGTCATGCTTGTACTTGCAGTGATTTAATACAGATGGTAAATTCAATACATTACCCCACGAAGAGATTAAACTGGTGCCAAACAGGAAATACAAAGCACATCTCGTATTTCACATATGCAGAACAATATTTCTATGTGTATATATTTATAGATATAAAAATGTATCTATTAGACATAATATGTATACTGGTCACCATATATTATTAGATAATTTTATATATTTATTATATAATGCAACCTTGTAATATATAATCCAAAACATAAAGTATAATAATCACAGAATAACATAATATTTGAGGTTGGAAGGTGCAACAGGGAATCATCCAGTCCAAGCCCTGTATCAAAACAGGATCACCTAGAATAGGTTTACATAGGAACTTATCCCAGTGCCTTTTGGATGTCTCCAGAGGGAGACTCCATAACTTCCCTGGGCAGCCTGTTGCAGTGCTCTGCCACTCTTAACATAAAGAAGGTCTTCCTCATGTTGAGCTGGAACTTTCTGTGCTTTAGTTTATGGCCTTTGCTCCTTGTCTGGTCACTGGGCACCACTGAGAGATCTGGCACCACTCTCTTCACATCTGCATATTTACATGCATTGATGAGATCACCTCTCAGTCTTCCCTAGACCTAACCCAGCTCCCAGAGTCTTTCCTCATAACAGATGCTCCAGACCCCTACACTTGCTTCATTAGGCTTCTCTCTGCCCAGCTCTCCAGCCCATCAAGGTCCCCCTGAATGGAGCACAGCCTTCAGGTGTATCAGCCACTCCTCCCAGTTTCGTGTTGTCAGCAAACTTGCTCAAGGTGCATTCTGTGCCTTCACCCAGCCCATTGCTCAGCAGGCTGACTGGGCTCAGAACTGAGCCCTGGGGAACGCCGCTGAGTACAGGCCTCCAGCTGGATTCTACTGCAGCCACCACGGCCCTCCGAGCTCTGCCCTTCAGCCAGCTCTTGATCTGCCTCCTCTGTACATTCCTCTAACCCAGATTTCCTCAGCTTACCCATGAGGATGTCACGGGAGACAAGTGTTGTGTGCAGAAAATCACGCTGTGAAAAGCCAGTGTCCACAGAGGAGTCCTGCAACTTTACTCGAATAAATGGAGAGACCTAGTAGCCTATAGGACTCTCTCCCTTTATTTGAATGAAGTTGCAGGACTCCTCTGTGGACACTGGCTTTTCATAGCATGTGAAAATGTGAAAAAATGTGTCACATTTTTTCACACAGTGTCAAAAGTCTTGCTGAAGTCTAGGTAGACAACATTTCTCTCTATATGAGTAGGTATATTTAACATTATTTACATATTTAACATATGTATATATGCCATCTCCAGGTGCACAGAAAGATCTGCCCTCACAATATGGTGTTTTTAGCGTATAAATAGTCCTCAGTCACGCTAATGGATGGGGAAAAAATGGAGAGGACATTTTCTACTGAAACTCCCATCAGGATATGGGCATGGCACAGTCCAGAGGAATGATGTCCCGGTACACTGCCGGGCAGTCAGGCAGCTGCCGGCCTCCGCAGGGGCTCGCTGCCGGCCTGCACTGTCAGTGCTGCTGCGGGCACCCAGGCCGAGAGTGGTGCCTCGCACCCGCTCCCGAAGCACACTCGGGCTCAGAGCGGCGCCTCGCACCCGCTCCCGAGGGACACCCAAGCTCAGAGCGGCGCCTCGCACCCGCTCCCGAAGCACAGCCATACCGAGACCAGCGCCTCGCACCCGCTCCTGAGGCACGTCACCGGCACCGCCCCCGCTGTCACGGCCAGGCCACCGCACCGCCTCGCCCGCGCCCTTCCGGCGGCGCCGCGTCACTTCCGCCGGGCCGGGCAGGACGAGATGGCGGCGCTGGGCGAGCCGGTGCGGCTGGAGCGAGGTGAGCGCGGCCGCGGCCCAGACGGGCGCTCCTGCTGCTCTCTGCTATGGGCGGGCAGGCAGGCAGGCAGCGGCGGTGGAGCTCCCGGCTCGGCCCCCGTCATGCAGCCGCAGCCTGTCCTGAGCCCCTGGCCGGCCACCCCCGTTGCTCGGCCCGAGACCGCGGGGCAGGGGCAGCTGGGGTGGCGGCAGGAGTAGCCGCCGTGCTGCCGTAGCCATGCCGCCCCCCCGGCTTGCCGCAGGAGCCGAGCCACTCCTCTCGCCAGGCGCAGCCGCAGCTGATTTGAACAGCTGATTTGAACAGCTGATTTGAATTGAACCGGCTTCCGTCGCTTCTGGCTCTTTCAAGCGTGTCGGTGGGACTGACCCCTCCGGCTTTGCTCTATGTAGCCCCCGGAGGTTTTCCTCGCGTTTCAGTTTGCGGCTGAGTTTCCGTGGGTGCACTTGCCTAAGCCCTTCTGTAGCTGTGTCTGCTCTGCCTTCACTGCTGTTAAACGCTTCAGATAGCTCTTATGCAGCCTGTAGTCTCTTTGTTTCTGTTTCTCTCATGGGAAAACTTCATCCTGAACACAGCAGAATTCTTAGAATTCTAATTTGAGTTTATTAGCCGTGTGTTAAGAACAATAACTTACTTTTTTTATAGAAGACAGCTGACACGGCTGATGCAGGGGTCCCTCTACACTTGTTCATGATTGTCCTCTATTACCCTCTCATGTTTATGTTTTCACCCCGTTTTTCTAGTGTGTAGTCTTAATTCGTGTTGTTAATGCATGCAGTGTGTAACTGAAATTAAGAGCAAAACAGATAAAATATAGAACCTAGTTGGGTATTTTTGTGTAGTATGTTTGTGACATGTATGCACAGTTTTTAAGAAAATTATAAATTTCCTTCAATGTGATTATCTGGTACTGTGTAAGGTCCACAGATGCTTATATAGCAATATAGATGATTGGTTTGTTGGTATGTATTTAGGACAGTAGGGATTGGAAAATGAAATTTACATGGGAAATGATTACTCATAAATAGAAATCGTGTTTGAAAAGGAAAACAAGTAGGTGAAGTATAGGTGATTGAATGATCTGACTTTCCTCACTACCATTCCTACTAGGACCACCACTTTTGTTCACGGTGCTAGATGTACTTTTGTAGGTGTATAACAAACTGTAAATACCCGCTTTATTTTTCTGGTACTATCGCCTTACCTACTGAAGAACTCGGTGTTTCTTTTTTTGCTAGTCCTGCTTCCCATTCCACAAGGGAGCCACTTGTAATGTGTGAGTTGGCTTGTAAATAGCGAGTTATGTAAGGTCTTTGCTTCACGCTCCGCAGCTCATCTACTCTCTACTCCAAAGCTAATTAGGGCAGCTGCTTCAGCAGTGGATTAGTGGCGCTTGGAAGGTCTGCAGACTTAAGACTCAGGTCCCATCCTTCACCTCGTTACCCTGCCACTATCCTCTATGCCGCTATGTCCATGAAAACAAACAAACCTGCAGAGTTACTTAGGGATCAATGAAACAAAAGAGCTATTTGGTCTTCAAGCATATTGGTCTTTTTAAGAAAAGAAGAAAAAGAGAACACCTTATAATGGACCTGCAAAAGCAAGAGTCTTATTTACAGAAATAAGTAACTGTTAATTGTGTGGGGTTGACTGCACATAACCTAGTGATGAGTCATAATTAGCTTGAACGTGAACGTTGGCATACAGCATAAGAAAAGAGAGAATAGTGTAGAAAATGAGCTGATTTTAAATCGTTACCTTATGCATACCACCAGGACAACTGGAAATTCTTGTGTATTTTCTCCTCCAAGCTGCAGTTGCAAACGCCACCACCTAAATTCACTAGAGAGCAGGAATGAAACAACAGCTAACATTTCAGTTATTCTTACAGTTTAGTGGTGACATATGCTAACTCTACATACAGCTTAGGAACCTGGAATACTTGAACATAAGTAGTGGAGGTGGTTAATCAGGTGTATCTATGAGGATGCTGTGTTTTTTTCTCTTTCTGTGTTTTGGTCACACGTGCATGGAGTGGTAGCATCTTGCTGGTCTTTTTCTCCCCACATTCTTTTAGAGTAAATGTTTATTTTTTTTCAGGGTTTCAATCTAGTATCCATGATCACAAAAATGATTTGTGAAGAACAGCCAATTTGGTATAAAATGGAAGAAAAGGCAAAAAGAAAAGCAGTTTTTCCATTATGTATGGATTCTTTTTTACAGTTGGTTTTATGGGTTGGGTTTTTTAAATTATCCACCTCTGGAGTTACATCTGCATCAATCCTTGTTGAAATCCCTCACTGGAACACTTCTGTACTATTTATTTTGGTCTCTGGTGCTGAACAGTTGGCTAAGCTATAGTGTTTATGTTGTGAGGAAGACAGCTTTCAGCTGATCATATTCCAGCTAGTAATTCAGGAGGAAGCAAATTACATCAACACAGTAGTTAACAAGCTTTTCTTGAAAAATGAAAGAAGGTTGTTTTGCCCCTTATTCCCAGCAAAACTTTCTCCTAAAGCAATATTGCTGGGATAAGATTGAGTATTCAGCTTTTGACTTACAGTGCACAATGCAGTTCAGTAGAAGAAAGTTGTGTTCAGTTGCACTTTCACACTGGTATAATAGGGTCCTCTCAATAACATACAACGAAACAACTGCTGGGAACAAAGTGACCTGCTGATGAGATCTATTGTCTCTATCTACCTAAGTAAGAAGTATGTTGTGATGAAAGATCTATTGAGTACTGAGGATCTAACTTTCATGCTGTGTCTGACTGCTCTGAGTTTTTACTTTACAGCAATAGTTGGATCCTTTGATCTGAAAACACTTATATTATTAAAGTGTGTCCTCTGCTTTAGTTTCATCTAAAATGAATCCAGTTCAGTGTATCCTAATCACTTTTTGAAAAGCTGATTCTGTGTTCTTAGTCTGTAGTTAGTGAAAGACACAGCTGGTTCCCAAACAAACCAGTTTTACCTTAGGGTAAAAAGTACTGTGCCATTAAATGTTTGGTCTGTTAGGAGACACAGGTAGGAAGCATATCTAATTTAATGACAAAACGTCAAGGTGAAAAAAGAGAAATTATCACATGGAATTCTGGTATCTTAATTTCTACAGCTAATTCTTTTATCAGTACATTGCTGTCAGCATTTAAAATTTCTTGCACTATCCTAATCAAACTGATAACAAGTTTGTGCACCTTACATCTTGACATAGTTCATAGACCATTGGCTCAAGAGTGGCTGTGTGGAACTGTAGTCTTTATGTGCACATAATAATAATTTGTCTGAAAACATCTGCAAGTATTTAAATGGGAGCAGTGTATTTATAGATTTGCTGGACGTTTCTCATGAATACGTGGTGTGTCGTTAGATTAGAAGTGCTGTGATTGCCATTTGATCGTACTACTGCAAGCTGATCACTGTTTCATGAATTAAGTACTACATGAATCAGTACTGCTGTTGCTGAACACAAAGGTTACGAAGAACTTTGGTGATTTTGAATCATCTAGAATGTCTCTAATTTCACCAACTATTTTGAATTTTAAATAAAATAGAAAATATGTATTAGGAAATAAGCTTTAAATGTGTTTTTTTTTAATTTTGCAGTTATACAAATAGCAAATATGTATATCTGTATAAAATGTATTCTCTGTAGAACATGAGATTATTTGTAGATAGTTTAGGATTTTATATTGCTTTGCTTTAGATAACTGATGCTTGTAAAGCTTGGAAATGCTTGCCAGAAAACCAAGTTCTCATGGCACATGGAAACGTTAACTATCATCAGAAGTAATTGGAGTCTTATGGCTGTAGTACTTGACTGTTCTTCCATGAAGGATTTGTTTCCTGTCCATGGATGATTACCACTCTGTGTGGTTAAGGTATACCTTGTCTAATCAACTGCATGACCTCGTCTCCATCTAGTAGTTTGTAAGATGTGTCTTATAATTCATGTGAGTGGACAGTACATTGCCGTGGGCTATGTCTTGCCCAATGCACTTCACCCTAATTTCAGAACACGCACCCCACTATCTTTTCATCCTGTTATATAAGTTTTCTCTTTTTACCGTCACATTTTAGGAGTTCATGGCTACTGCATTTCCTCTGTGCTAATATGATCCCATTGAGTAGATCTGCATTCACATGAAAAATGAGTACCTAGAGGCTAATTACAGAAAAAAGGAAGTAATGCACTTGGGACTTAGCAGTATCCTAGACTTCATCCTGTTCTAAAATGATCTGTGCATTATTTCATATAGTAGACTAATCACTGCTTTTTTGTCTTTGTGGTAATGAAAGTAATCCTTTCTATCTGCTTTTCTAAGAGACTGTTCTAATTCTGTTCTAGAGCTTCTATGTTTCAGAATAACCACTTATGTAACAGTTTGTAAATACAAGTGAGGGATGTGAATATTCTACTCTTCTGGCACTGTCAAGAAAATTTCGAATTGCATTTGATGCCTACCTTGAGTCATACTGGTCTGGAATCAAATCCTTCATGGAGTTCAGTTTCACAAAGCAGCATTTTTGAGGAAATGGCCAATGTGAACTCTTAGGAACAAACTTGAAGGAACTGAAAGAGGTTTGGGGTTCAGGATTCTAGACTATGGAGATACTGTCTCTCAGCTGAGACTGTCAAAAGGAGTTCTGTTGGTTTTATAAGCACTTGAGGAGGGAAAAGAAACAGGCCAGATAGTTCTCAGCCTTCTTCTATGGAAAGTATTGAGTTTACCTTATTGAGCTAAGTTTTGAATATAAAAGCAATGTTAGACAGCATATTTGATAATATTATAGCTGATGTTAACAAAATGCCACCTGTAGAGTATTATGAAGTATACACTACCAATAATTATACACATTTAATACACATAATAATACATTTTAATACCCATACCGATATTTCAGTCCTTTGAGGAAAAATTGGATTATCTTTGCAATATGCATATGTCAGTGATAGCTCCAGATATGTTACAGGGCTGCTGCTATGGTTCATTTATAACAGGCTGAAAGTACAGTGTTTTATTGTAGCATTTTGTAAATACATGGTTTTATGGGTAATGAAATTTAAAGCATAGTTTTAAAGTGTATGCAAGTGCACACACACAGACTGCTCCATTAACCTAATTAAAAAAAAAAAAAAAAACCAAAGACACCTTGAGATTCCACAATCATTCCTCTTTACAAGTGCTTTATTTTTTTCATAGACATCTGCAGAGCAATTGAATTGCTGGAGAAATTACAGAGAAGTGGAGAAGTGCCACCACAAAAGCTACAGGCATTGCAAAGAGTCCTTCAAAGTGAATTCTGTAATGCTGTAAGAGAGGTAAGTTGGGACACCATAGGTGTATAAAATAATGGTTTAGTAGCAAATCACTTCTTAAAGGTTATTTTGAGAGTCTGTCCTTATTGGCAGCTAACAGGATGTTATCCAGTTGGTGTGTAAGAGTAGACAATGTACCAATTGCCTGTTATTTTTAAGCCAAATCCATGCCCTCTTTAGGTGGAGTCTTGTTCCACCTCATCTTCATTCCAGGTATTCTTTTGGAGACTTTAAGGTGATTGGATGTGCCTTGCTATTGCTGTTGCTTATGTTAATACAGATGATAACAGCTGGAATGATTTTTAAAAATCTGTTTGTAGACACAGGCGTCATCTTGATGTTTTCATCCTTTTGAGGACGCTGTACATGCTGCTTAGCAAGTACAAATGGTTGGCAGGGAGATGAGAAGATGTGGGTTAGCCTTCAGTTCAAGCACCTCCTTATCATTAATATTCTTATTGTCTCTGTGTTTTCAATCCTAATTTTTTCTTAAGATATTCAACTAATTGCTAAAGTTGAAGGAAAATTTGGGAGTTTGTGGGGAGGGATGGCAAAGCCTTGAAGAACTGCCTTAAGTGTTTTTGCATGTATCTGTATTGAAGAGTTCCAGCTTGAATCAAGCAAGAGAAAATAGTCATCATGCCTAGAGTCAGGCATGCACACGTAGCCATAAGCATTTCCAAAGTCCTGGTGAAGTCTGAACACTGTGGAAGGAGGGAATACTTAGGTTGAGACTGAGCAATAAAGACGCTGAGAGACTTGTTTCTTCATAGAATGTTTGACTGCCTGTTCTTGTTGTGAATCAGGGAGCAACATTAGTGGTGTGTACTTTTAATTTACACAGTTTTGAGTTGCACGTGATATTTTGTTACATTACCTAAGCAGAAAAATACCTGTTTTACTCATACTGAAACTGTTTTGTCTCTAAAGGTGTATGAACACGTATATGAAACTGTGGATATCAGCAGTAGCCCAGAAGTTAGAGCTAATGCAACAGCAAAGGTAAAAGCCAAACTATAACTTGTAAAAAATACAGTAGTTCATTACTTCAGAAGCAGAAGATCATATAAAATTCAGAATGATATTGTCTGGATGTCTGACAAAATCGATAAGCTTGACAGTTTATTAAAAGGTATAGCAAGACTTATTTTTAAATTTCTTTCATTTCAATTTTATTCTTGGAGTTCTGAATTTTTCATAATAGTGTTGGTATGTAGAGAACTAATTGTCTTATTTGTCTTAACATTTAAGTACTTTGAGATAAAATACATTTTCAGTCTGCTCACTGTGTCTAGCTAAAGGAATTGTATTTAATTTCTTAAAAATGAGAAAATCTTGTTTCTCACAGGCCACGGTAGCTGCATTTGCTGCTAGTGAAGGTCATTCTCATCCCAGAGTGGTTGAACTACCCAAAACCGAAGAAGGTCTGGGCTTCAACATTATGGGAGGCAAAGAACAAAATTCTCCAATTTATATCTCTCGAATTATCCCTGGAGGTATAGCTGACAGACATGGAGGACTGAAACGTGGAGACCAGCTGCTTTCTGTGAACGGAGTGGTAGGAACTGTTTTCTTCTCTTTATGTAGCAGTAACTGCTTGTTTCCACTCGAGGGAGCACAGACAATACAAATGGCACAAGCTCGTTTTGTCTTCTAGTCTTGGCAAAATACTTTTTTTGTCCTCACAAAACAAGTTAGTTTAGATTTCTGTAGAGTTGTATGCATTGAGAGTTTTAGGATTATGCTTTGGTTATCTGTCTCAAAAAGGAACTGTACTATCTATATCAGTATTTCAGATTCTGAGGGGTTATATAAATGTAATCAAAGAATTTTGTAAAATACAAACTGCCTTCCCTTTTCATCGAAGTTTCATGATGCAGATTTTTACTAACAGAGTTTTCTGCACCTTCTAAGGTAGGTAGTAAATTATGCCACGTTGCTTTTGGCTGACCAGATTCTCATTTTTCCCAGTAAACATGCTATTGCATGGTAAAAGCTGTAATGAGATGGAACTACAAGGTGGTGTTACCTTGTATGGTACTTTTTCCTTCCACTTAACTATACGGAGCTTCAGAAGCAGGTTTTTTACTGAATTTTAAGAAATATATGTTTAAAGTGCTGATGTGAATTTTTTTAGTAAGTATCCTCTTCTGAAGAGCTAACAATACAAAAAGTAAAACAAAGGGAGGATGGAAAGAAAAAATTATGGGCATGCTTTGACTTGAGACAGCTTTCAGCAAAATGCATGTAAATATCTCCCAAATACTTTCTTTTCTTTACAGAGAGACTTTATGCAGGCTTAAAATTAGTATTTTCATCATTACATGTGTAAACCAGATTTTATTTTAAGACTTAGGGTCAAACTAGATTTTGGGGGGTTTTGACTCTTGAAAGGAATAGTGGCTGGGTACAGATACTGGGTATCTGTATTCTAGGAATTCCTGGCTAGCACAGATCTCTGACATACTTGGCTCCTGACTATTACCTGGGAGTCCAGCTGTCCTTTCCAAGAGGCATAAGAGAAATCATAGTTGTAGTGATGCAACTGTCCTTGCCTTAGCCTTTTGTTGTTGAGAGACTGCTGCAAAGCTGTCTTCAAATGAGTCCTTACTCACCCACAGATTCTCTTTAAAGACAAGTGACCCACCACTCCACCCAAAATTGAACCTGATCATCAGACAGTTGGTACAGCCAAAAATGACTCTTGAGTGTGCATGCACATGTATATATATATATATATAGCCATTGTCAGAATATAGTGAGTGCATAAATTGCTGTTAAGAATGCTAATGTAGTCTCAGAAAAATCATTGTCATCCGGTAATTACAGATGGAATCCTGTCATCATAATACATGACAGACATTTTCTTGTAATTTATACTAGAGTTATAATAATAAAAAATGCCACTGCCAAGACTGCAGTGAATATGACTGAAAAACAGGATTATTTTTTTCAGGTAGGAGATCCTGAGTGTACTCCAGAATTTTAGGTGTTTTGATAGAATTAATCAGAACTCTACAAGCCTTTTATTACCAGTTATGAACTGAACATCCTACACATCCACTTAAATAACAAAAATGAAAACATTCAAATGTATGTGTTGTCTAAGTCTGATAGAAGAGAAATAACTTGGGGTTTTTTAACTGTTGTTTTTCTTTCTGTAAGTAACTTTATAGTTACGGGGAAACCCTCCAATCAACAGGTACCTCACCTGCCTTCTAGCTTCTAATAGCTCCAAGTGGGAGGTAGGCTTGGAGTAGTCCCGTCATTGTGTTTAATTGGGAGACATAAGTTTTGCTGATAAAATATATGCTGACCAGGAATGTATAATTGGATGCAGTTTTTGAGAACCGTTGCTCAAAAAATGTAATTAATCTAATATAATTCTAAGAAATTCTGAGAGTTTTTTTAGTAAAGCATTTTTGTACTGGTCTTCCTGAGCTGTGTTAGGCTATGATAATCAGTTTAGAGGAAATGAACTTGAATGTCTTGGGTTTACTGAGTGACATGTGGAGCACTAAGATAAGCAACACATTACATGTTAGTTGCTCCATTGCAAGCAGCCAGTATGCACTGTTTTGCCTTGTTGTGATGCAAGCTAACATCAAGAAGGAGCTATCTTGCAGTTGTCTGGCAATTTATTAAGCAAATTGAGGGTAATTGCTAAATTTTAAATGGATGCAGAAGAAGAAAAATAATATTAAATTTTAAGTAAGTATTCTCCTGAAACTTTTGATTTTTAAGTGTAATTTCAAAATTGAATAAGGTTATCATTGCAGAATTTAATTGTTCAGCATAAATCTAAACAAGATTTTTGTACTATTCTTTTACTAATACTAATTAGCATTTTTATCATCACGTCTCTTGGTTTGTTGAAACATAAGTCCTGAAACTGCATCTGGAATATGCAGTCTTGAAAATAGATTACATATAAATAAATACGTAAATATAATTGTTTATATAGAATTGTACAAAAAAATGAAAAAAAATTGTTTTCAGTTTGTCTTTACTAATACTAAATGGTTTATACTTCACAGAGTGTTGAAGGTGAACACCATGAAAAAGCAGTAGAACTGTTGAAGGCAGCTCAAGGAAAGGTGAAATTAGTGGTGCGATATACACCGAAAGTCCTTGAAGAGATGGAGTCAAGATTTGAAAAAATGAGATCGGCAAAACGAAGGCAGCAGAATTAACACTGTGTGCAATAACTTAAAGCAAAAATATATATTCCTTTTACATTTTATAGTTTCTTTGTGACTCAGTTGATCCAATGCCTGTCATAAGACCCTGTCGTTTTCATAGAATCATGGAACAATTGAGGTTGGAGGAACTCGATCTAGTCCATTCCCCAGCTCAGAGGAGGGTCAGCTAGAGCAGGTTTCTCAGGAGTGTGACAAGCTGGTTTATTAGATATCTCTAAGGATGGAGACTCCAGATGATCTCTGGACAGTCTCTTCTAGTGTTTTGCTCTCCCTTACACTATGAAGATCCATTTCTATGTTTAAGTAGAGCTTCTGGTATTTCTACTTGCGCCCACTTCCTCTTGTCCAGTCACTAGACTTACTGGAAGAGTTAGGCTCTTCCTTTACTCCTCCCTTTCAGAAGATCACCTGAGCCTTCTCTTTTCCAGATGAGAGAGACAATCTCAGTTTTTCCAACTTCTTGTCTGTAAGATATTCCAATCACTTAATCACCTTTGTGGCCCTTAACTGGATTCACTCTTGTATGCCTATTTCTGTATTGGACTGGGGCCAGAACTGGACCCAGCACTTGAGCTTTGTCTCACGAGGACTGAGTGGAGTGGAAGAATCCCCTCCCTCAGCTTGCTGGCAGTGCTCTTTTCAGTGTAGACCAGGAGTCTGTTGGGCTTTTCTGCAAGGGCATGCTGTGGCTCATGGCTTGCTACTGTTCTCTTCAAGGCTGCTTTGCAGCTCTTCAGTCCCTCAGTCTGTACTGGAGAATGAGGTTATTCCCCCCAGTGTAAGACTTTGCACTTTTCTTTGCTGAACTTTATAAGACTCTTGTTTGCCCATTTCTCCAGCCTGCTGAGGTCCCTTTGAATGGTTTGCTGAAGGTGTGATCTGTCCCATTCCCAGGGTTGTTAGTAAAATCAAGAAAGAGTGTGGACCCCAGTGCAGGCCCTATAGTGCAGTGGCAGTGATTGGCATCCAGCAGGACATTTTGCCACTTATCACAGCAATCCTCCACAGTTCAGCCTGTTTCAAAATGTCTTCAGTCTCCTTGTGTTTCACAGTTTAGGAGGAATGTGTAGGTTTAGAATGGCCTAAAATGCCCTGGAAAAGCATATATGGTGATATTTCTATTGATTTTTTAAATAAGTTTGTGTCAGACTTTCAAGCAAGAAAGTGAATTTACAGATTTTTCAAAGTCATTTAATAAGACACAGTTGTACAATCAGCATCCTTTTCTTCCTGTTTTGACATTACTTAGCATAGAATCTGCCAGGAGTTTTGCTAACTGATTTTTGAAAAAAAAAAAAAAATTCTTATAGAGCAGTATTTTGGCACTTTTCTTAAGAGTATGTTGTATGTCAAATACAAAATGTAATCATAATCTACTGTGTAGCTGATTACAATACCAGATTTTGTAATGTTTTTGGTAAGTACATTGTTTTTACACTTCTGCTAAATTATAATTCACTACTCTGGAAATTGTATTACCTCTGCTGTAAATAATTTACAGTTGGTGTTCTTATGTAATTATGTTGTAATAGCCAACATTTACAAATTTGCAACAATCATTCCTGTAATTTACATTATTTTGTACTAATTTTAAAGCAGTTATGGGGAAAAATATGATTGCTGTATGCAGTTCTGGATTGACTCTAGTTGTATTTTTATACTGAGAAACAGAAGATATATAAATGCAGTGCAAAAGAATTCCAGATGTTTCCCTGACTTTCTGCTGTGTAAAAGAATTATTCATCTCAATTGTCATACCATTCTTGTCTTTCTAGTATCTTTTATTGTAGTCTTATTTGCATATTGAATGTGTTAGTTCTGGAATTGTTAGTACCTAAATTACTGATTGTTATTGTTATAAGACTAAAATGTTCTGAGTCTTATATGCCAGGTTACTGTGACATATGAACTTGTCTGGGGCTTTATTACTGACTGCTTTTCACTTGAGGGATTCTTGTTTGTACTACAGAAGTACTGCATCATGATAGCTAAATAAGGACATCTCCATCTGTAAACAATTACTGTCTTATCCCATGTATTCTTGATGGTGGCATGAGTTTTGTGTACCATTTTGAAAATTTCTAGACAGAGATCCACTTTTTGGAATCTACCAGGTTTGATGCTGTACTTACATAGTTTAGGGTTTGGGCTTGGTTTGAGGTTTTTTTAAGCTTCACCTTTTGAAGAATTAACTTCATTGTCTACTGGGTATCAGTTCACTTGTATGGCAGCTATGAGTACATCCTAATTGACTGTTAGTAATTTGATTTTTAAAGGCTTAAACTGAAAAGTACAGTTCTTGCTATGTGGCTAGTCCCTAGTCTTATTCACATGAACCAATATATGAAACAAAAGAAAAGGTTAGTAATCTAAAAATGACAGCTTGAAGCTTGTGCTTTGTAAGTTAATCTATTTGGGAAAAAAAAAGTGGTTGCTATGGGCAAGTGAGAAATGTGATTGCTTTCTGCATGTTTGTAAGCATGGTAAGCCTGCAAAGAGATGTTTGGGAGATACTGGTAATTTGAAAATGCAGTATAAATATTTATCAGTTAGATGACATTGAGCACTGAATTGCGTGGTTGATTTTATGTCATAGGCTTTTTTCAAAAGGCCTCATGTTACTGATACAACCATGTCATTGAATTGTATATTTTTATGGAACAACTAATGTTCAAAGTATTGAGACCAAAATCACTAGTTAGACCAATTGTGGATGTGTTTTAATTTAATTGATAATTAGTAGAGATATGTTACAGAGCCATATATATATATATTACAGAAAGGTATGGATACAAGATAGAAATGTTCATTTTGCAAACTGTATCCTTTGTATTACTGAACAAGAAGTGTGTTTTGTTACTCTAATGAAATATTTACTGCAGCTAGAGCTGCTAAATGCAGTAGCATTTTCATTCTGAATTGTAGCATTTGGTTATGGTTTGTCAACTACTACAAAAAGTGGAGAGGTGTATCTGGGTATATAAGTAGTACACGTAGAATTTGATAAAATGTTTTTAAATTGCAGTAACAAAAAAAACAATAACAGCCAACTAATTAATAATCATCTTTGGTATTATGAGAACTCTTTAATAATAAGGAAAGGGTGAATTAAAATGCTCCAAGACGTGATCTCTGTTACTACTGAGCAGTGCCTGTACTGTTAATATGCAGTCCCTACACACTATTCATACTTGGGTCTACAAACAGATTAAGAAGAGGTATCATTTCTGCAAGTAACTTCTGCATCTGATGCTACTGTGAAGGATCTTTGAGTTTTATCAACAGAAAAATAAAAATTCAGTTTCACACAAGTGTTTGTGTGTTTTTCTTCCGACTTTCCATGAGAAGTCAGCTGCATGAACTGAAAGATACATATAATTCTGAGTCAGATATTATCATTTAGTTGTTTGAGTCAGATATTTTAATTGTTTGAATCAAGTATCTCAAATAAGGAGATACAAGTTGTCCTTTGAAGGACTTGGAGAAATTCAGTAAGGTAGTTAGCAAAATGTTTCTGGAGTTATGAACTGAGATTAACAAAGGAGAAAATGCTTCAGTTTTGAATGTAAAATAAGTTGGGGTTCTGTTGTTTTTTCTTTTTTTTTAATTTAAGTAGGCTGGAGTATGAATTGAAAATACATGGCGAAATATTATATAAAATTTTGATCTAGATGATTGTCTTGGTTTGAAAGACAGGTGTTGTTAAGAAAGGCAGAAGCCTCTCTTGAAATGGACAATGCAAACCCCCTCCCTCCAAATTATTATAATTTTGAAATTAAGGAGCTCTCAGGTAAAGATATGGGAATAGGAATAACAGTTCTTTACTAGGAAAAATTAAAATAAAAATACAGTAACACAAAGGAGAAAAAACAAACAACAACAACAACAAAACAAACAAAAAAAAAAAACCAACACCAAAAAACCCCCCCCAAACATTGACCGAGTCAGAACACAACCTGACACCCTGTAGCAGTCCCATTCCATGGTGGCTGCATCCTCCTGCAGTGACAGATGTGGTTCTGCTGGAGCAGGGCTCCTGCACAAGGTGCAGTTTTCCTCCAAAGCTGCAATGATGATGTGGAAGGGTCTGGTTTTCCTCTGGGATCCAGTGGGAAAAGGCTGCTCTGCTGTTCCAAATCTCAGCTTTGATCTGGGTAGGAAATGCTTGGCTCCTGTCCCTGGTTGGAGCATCTCCTAATGGGATGATGGAATTTTATCAGCCCTGCCCTGGGACTGCATGGCCATGAACAGGAGAGATCTCCTGGAGGAAGGATGGGTTGTAGAAAAGCTAAAGAACACTGCCCTAGCTGCTTTTAACAAATGGTGGTAGAATACAGACTTTTGGTCACATCCTGCATTACAACCCAAGGCAATGATATATAACACTTGAACTGGAACTAACATATGTTCAGTTTTATTTTAAAATTAAATAGTATCCATGACCTGTCTTACGATGTTGAAGTAAGTCAAAAAGCAAAATTGGAATTGAATTGATACAAGGAAAGGGTGATACCATGGTTGGTAGGTAAACATAAGAATTTCAGGGAAATTGTGGATTTAGTGCAGTTTGAGTTTCTGTGATTCTTTGTCTTCTAAAATCCTGATGAGAACCTGGCTTCAGGGCAAAGTCTGGGTTGCAGTGTTCACTTTTACAGAGGAATTGTCCCTAGTTGGGAGAGTCTAAGATGACAACTCAACAAAAGACATCTGAGATTCAGAAGTGGGCCTCAGGATAAAATTTATTGCTAGTTCTAAGCATTAAAACAATAAAACTTAAAAATTAAGTTAGAAATAATGTGTTACTGTTTCCTGTTACTTTACAGACACGTCAGGTTTCGAGTGACACAATCATGTAACGTAAAACAAGCTCTGTATCCCTCACCTTTGTTGGCTTTAATTGTGTGATTGTTTGGGATTTTTGGGGAGAGGGGTGAGTAAATTGGGCATTTTATTGGTAACCAAAGGCTTAAAATAAGTGTGCACAGACACGTGCTAATAATTTCTTCCCCACTCCTCAAAACAAAATCGGAAAAAACCTTGTCACACATTGCAAGGCATAAGAAACTGCATCTATTAATTCCAAACTGAGCTATCCTCAGATCTCTCTGTGTGGCTTTTTAATCTGTTTAATTATATCATTTGATATATTGATAAATCTTGCCTAAAGAAGGCTTCTGTTAATATAAAAGCTGGAGTAAGATGGATACCTTCCAATATTGCT